GATGCCACCAGGCTTTGATGCATCCCGGGCTCGAGCAAGCTATGGAGGGGAATAAATAGCAGTCGTCTCGCAGCTCTGGTTGAGGGGTGTCTATTGATCTAAAGATACCCAGCAGCTCCTCGACGGGCCCATCACCAAACAGTAATTTGACAAATCGACTAATAACCTCTTTTAGCTCCATCAAGGCGAGTTATTCGTCCATCACTCACCTCATCAAAATCAAGAAGCTCAGAGTCTATTTGAGGACGAGTTGGAATAAGACATAGTAAATATGGTCAAGACTGTCGTCGTTCTCGGCGCCGCGTACGGCGGCCTGGCCGTGGCTCATCGGTTGCTCAAGCACACACGCCAGACAGAGCCGGACCTCAGAGTGATCCTGGTTTCAAAGGTGAGAGAGAATTTTCTACACTATAATTGGCACACATCAAGCTACTTGAAAATTCTCGATTCTCGAAATCGGACGACCTCTACAGAAGCTAGGGGTGTCACCGAGCTCCGGAGGCCCGTGGGGGCGGCGTAAGACAGCTGCAGGCGACCCACACTTATCTCACCTCTGCCTCCATCAGCGTTCAGAGGAGACGAAGCAAAAATGAGACATATGAGGACAGGAGTTGGGCAGTGCCTTGGAAAAACACGAAACGGAAGGGAAAGGAAGTCGTGCGCAAAGGCTGATAAGAAAATGGCAGACAACTCACTTCTACTGGAACATGGGCTCCGTCCGCGCCATCGTGCCGGGCATCGTCAAAGATGACGAAATCTTCCAGCCCATCGAGTCCGGCTTCGCATCCTACCCCAAGGAATCCTTCGAATTCGTCCTCGGCACCGCCACGGGCCTCGATGTGGCCCGCAAATCCGCCCTCGTATCGACCGCGTCCGGCCCCAGGTCCCTGCCATATGACTACCTCGTCCTCGCCACCGGCGCCCGCGCCGCCTCCCCCGACATGCCGTGGAAATCCTCCAATTCCCACGAAGAAACCCTCCGCCTCCTCCACGCGACGGCAGAAAAGGTCAAGTCCGCAAACCACATCGTCGTAGCGGGCGCTGGTCCCACGGGCGTAGAAGTCGCCGCCGAGATCCGCTTCGAGTTCAAGGACAAAGAGGTCCACCTCTTGGCGGCCGAAGACGAGATCCTCGCGGGCGACTCCATCGCGAAACCTGTGCAGAACGAGATTACGAGGCTCGGCGTGCAGGTCCGGAAGCACGCGCGCGTCGCGAATTCGCGCCCGCTGCCGGATGGCAAGACCGAGGTCAAGCTCATGAGCGGCGAGGTCATCCGGACGGATCTGTACCTCCCCACCATGGGCCTCGTGCCGAATACGGAGTACCTCGACCCCGGGATGCTGAACGAGCGCAAGTATGTGAATGTGGACGAGTACATGCGCGTCAAGGGCGTCGAGAACGTCTGGGCGTGCGGGGATATTGTCTCGTTTCCGAGGGCGGGCTTCATGCTCACGGACAAGCAGGTTCGTCGCCCCCAACCCCCCTGTTCTCTATTTCTCTCACAACCTTCCCCTCTCTCTTGTTGAACATGACTAACTTCTCCCCAAAACGTACCAGGCCGCCGGCGTCGTAAAGAACATTGAGCTCGCACTCAAAGGCAAAGACCAAACCGTCGTAAAAGGCATGCCCGTCGACGTCTACGTCTGCGCCACGGGTCGCAGCCGTGGCGCGGGCCGCATCGGCTGGGTTAAGGCCCCTTCTCTCATGATCTGGGCTGTCAAGAGCCGGAACTTGGGGTTGCCCATGGCCGTGCCGTATGCCAACGGCGGCCAGTGGTAAGCTCGTAGCTCGTGATGTTGAGCTAGAAACAGAAACAGAAGCAGAAACAGAAGCAGAAGCACGGCTTCTCGGTGTTTGGTGTTTTGATTCATGTAATTACACTTATACGGTTCTATCCAAATAATCTGATACAAACTCGCGGAGAAGCGGCTACTAGTCTGGTCTCAATACTCTTGCCATTACCTCAATCATTCCCAGACCCCCTCTCCTGTACTTGAAAACTGCGCTCTGATCATTTACCATGACCGATGACTCCCGAATGTCTCTATAGGAGAAGTAGGCCGCCAAAAAATAACGAGAAAGAAATCCGTTACTTCAATCCCCGTGCATTATTTGCTAAGCTTCTATTTTCTACCTCTTGGAAGCACAATCTTCAACTATAAGCCCCGCCTACCTCCTCTGCATCTCATCAATCTAAGCAGCGGACCGGCAAACATTATAGTCTTACATGCACGTGGAATATGCATCGAGATGGAATGATCAACTCCCTGAATTGAACGTGAGAAAGGGGTACCCAAACCAGACCGGGCCCGTCATCCCTACCTCGAAAGAAGACAAACATATAAAAGATAACCCAAGCAAGCCGCCCGCCCTGCACCAGAAACAGACGCTGTCAAATTTGGATTTTCCCTCTCCCTCCCTCCTTCACCCCCCCCCCCCCCCCCCCCCCCCCCCCCCCCCCCCCCCCCCCCCCCCCCCCCCCCCCCCCCCCCCCCCCCCCCCCCCCCCCCCCCCCCCCCCCCCCCCCCCCCCCCCCCCCCCCCCCCCCCCCCCCCCCCCCACCAGCTCTCATCTTCATCTACTCGACTTCTCATCCTCAATCTCCCTCCGCAGCTGGTCAAGCACACCCTGCCGCGACGCGAGATGCGTCTCGAGACCCTCAACCTGCTCCTTGACCGTCTGCAAATCATCCGCTACCCCCTTCAGCCCACCACCGCCGCCCTGGCCCTTGCCGGCACCGCTCTCGAGGTCCTTGAGCTCCTTGCGCTTGTAGTCGAGCAGCTGCTCGAGCTCGCGCTTGACGAGAGCGGGCTTGCCGTCGCGCTTACCGCCCTTCTTACGCTCGACGTCGGCCTCGATGCGGGCCAACTTCTCGTCCAGCTCCTGCAGCTGCTTCTTGAGGCGGACCTCCTCCCAGTCGTCCGTCTTGGCCGTGGAGAAGTCGGTTCCGCTAGACTTGAAGCCGCTGCGGCCCAGGCGGGTGAGGTACTGGTCGCCAAACTTGGCCTTGCGGCCCGTCGCCGTCGAGTCGTCGGCCTTTGTCGCCCATCGGGAGGCGCCGGGGGTCTGGTTGTCTAGTTGGTAGTCGATCTGGTTGCGCTCAAATGAGGCCCGGAGGGAGGCGGGGACGGTGCGCGGAATGCGGAAGCCTTCGTGGCGGTTGTTCAGGATGTGAAGGAAGGCGAGGCAGGCATCCTTGTTGATGGATTGGCCAGCTGAGGGGTTGATGAGGTTCCAAGCGGAGCGGATGTCGGTGTCGGGAACGTCGAGGGATTCGTAGAGGTCCTCGAGAGCAGTGACTGAAACGAATGCACTGTTAGTAAAAGTAACACGGCGAATAGGGGCCCGCGCAAGTGAACCTACATGCTACTTGTCCCCGTGCGTCCCGGTTCTCTTGGTATATCGACTCGTACTTTGACTTGTCCGCTGGGCTCATGTACCAGTCGAATCCATCCTTCAGCCCTGGGGAGTCTGGATCGTCGTCGACTTGCTCAAACGCCACTTGCCTTCCTGTGAGCGCGCGATTCGCCTGGACGAGATGTGCCTTGGACTCGGGGACGAGCCAATCGGGGAGTGTCGTCGGGACATCTGAGTATTCCTGCCCATCCGAATGCGATTAGCAACTCTGCGCCATTCTCTCTTCCGCTGCACATCCGACTCAAGGTATACTCACGCCATTCAGGATATCAAAAATAACTCTCATGGCAACGCAAAACTCCTCAAAGTCGAGATTTCCATCATTGTCGACGTCGGCGAGATCCCACACCCTCTCGAGCTGGTTGTCCGTCAGGCCGCTATTCTTCAGCACCGGCGCGGCCTGTTCTCCCGTCAAAAACTGGCCGCCGCCCGTCCGGGTGGAGAAGATGTTCCAGTACGTCTCGATTTCTTGTGCTTCGATGCGAGGAGGCGCCATGATGTGCGGTATGTGTAGATGTGTTCGTGTACACGGAGGAGAGCGTCGGTGGACGGAGGTTGACGAAGGGGGCCGGGCGAGCTTGCTCGGGCTTCGTTCGTGTGGCGGGAACTGCGGTGCGCAGATAGATGATTTTGTCTTAGGAGACTGCTTGATGTAGCAATTCGACGGAGATTTGGAGGATCTCGTGAACCGGAGATGGTGAAGGCTTGGCCGGAGAGGTGTCGTTGTTGCTGAGTGGATCGTCGTTGGGCCGCGTGGGACGGGAGCTCGGCCAAGGATGTGGATTTGGGGTAATCGGCGGGTTGGAAGTGGGAGGCAGTGCTTCTGTAACTTGGCTGAGCGTGCGCTCGGTGAGGGAAGCTCGGTGATGCAAGGTCGACCCACAGCTCGCCGTCACCAACCCCTGTTCACTTAGCTCAGCGCTAACTTACATAATACTGGTGGCATTTCTGACGGCCCGGATCAACGACATCTCACGAAGCAGTTATTACATCACGAACCAAAGTGGACGTCATTTTGGGCAACCTGATATTTTTCCTAACTCACAACAAATCGCACTGATGCGATGGGTATCTCAACAAAATTAAGGGGCCTTTTCCCCAAGAAACCGTTCCCGAATTCCAAATGGGTATCATCCTCCGAACCAATGTCATCTGTAAGCCATCCATAGAGGTATGTGCAAAAGAGAAAGCCACCAGAATCCTGAGTCCTCCCCAATACCGAAACCAAATTCTCCAAGTAGGAGCGCGATATGCAACGAAGACCAAAATCCGTCTCGTTGAAAAAGTGAAAGAAGCAAGAAAAAAGACCGCCGATGTAGCAAGAAAGATCTCGCAAACCAGGAGACCCGATGGCCGTATGTCTGGCATCTTGGGTCAACTTTTCCGCTGTAATGGTGTTCTTTTTTTTTTTTTTGTGCTTTTTTCTTTTATGGTGCCTTATAGTAGGCAGAGTATGTCCCGCGATGCAATTGATGTATTCTTGCCGTCGAGCCAGGCTTGCAACCTTTCGCTTCTTGACACTTTGATGTTCATCGATGCTACTAGATGGCTGTAGGAATTCTCTAGCAAGGGCATCGGCCGAATCACTTGTCTGCCTGTTCGTTTTCTTTGCGCTTCTGAGCGGCGGCGGCCTTCTCAGCTTCAATCTCTCTGCGAATGCTAGCGGTAACGCCCGGGAATGGGGTTGGCGCAGCCTTCGGCTTGTAATGAAGCGAGTAGATGCTGTTGGGCCACGAAGCCATGTTCATAGCAATGCGCTCTCGGGCAAGCTGCATGGCAACATCAGAAGGCCACCCCTTCTCGACCATTTTCAAGGCATAGTCCGCGCCATCGGGCACCGATACCCAAAACTCCTCGTATGTCTCATACTGAGGAGGGAACAACCTACCAAGCTTGTCCTGGCGAGGACGTCCTGGGGCCTTGAGATCGACTTTGCTCGAAGAGTTGTTTGAGGCAGTAGTATGCGATGATTGCTGGAAAGACGAGCGTTTCAGAGCTGGCGCTATGGCTGGCATGGAGGGCTCTAGGATCTCGATGTCGGGTTGGGGTGTAAGTGCCGGAGGGCGAGAACAAGCTCCAGGAAGCGATGACTGACGCTCGACAGTAGCAGACGGCTGCACTGTAGAAGTTGACGACGCGGGCATACGCTCTTGGCTTCCCGGCTGACGACCGTGAGTTGTGAAATCGGTCACTAGAGCAGAGAATGGGTTCGGATTCGAATAGGGACTAGGGACCGAGGATTGACGCAGCTCACTAGCTGACGACTGCATGCGTGAAGCAGAAGCCGTGGGCATACGCTCTTGAATTTCATCCTGACGACGACTATACTCTGTGGGTGCAGTTTCCATAGCAGTGTATGAGTTCGAAGGTTGATAGGCTCTAGGAGTCGACGATTGACGCGGCTCAGCAGCAGATGGACGCGTGCCAAAAGAATCAGGATGAGGTGTGCGCTCAAAGCTTGTCGGTTGACGGACACCAGCTCTAGGTTCGGGCGCCGGAAAAGTAGCGTATGAACTCAAAGGCTCATAGGCTCCAGGAAGCGAGGATTGACGCAAGTTAGTACCAGACGGTCTCATCTCAGTAATGAAAGACGCGGGCATACGCTCGTAGCTCGTCGTTGGACGAACGTCAGCTCTGAAGTCGGTATATGAGTTCGAAGGCTCATTGCTGTATCTAGAGACTGGGGTCATTCTGTCCTGGTACTGGGCAATTCTCTGCACGTGAGGCTGATCAACGCTAGCTTGACGGCTGCTCTCGGTAGACTGGTTCGTCTTCGGTTTGTTTCGATGTCTCCGACTCGGCACGGCACCTTTGGCCGCCTGCGGGAGCATTGGCTCGGTGCTGGGAACTGGGTTGTTCGCCGGAGGTGTAGCAGCGTTCAGAACGGGAGAACTGTTCGCGGGGGTCTGCATAGTCGTCGACTGGTTTGTAGCTCGCTTCACGGTAGCTTGGCTCGCGGTAGCTTGGTTCGTGGCAGTCTGGTCCGTGGCAGCTTGGTTTGCAGCAGCTTGATTCGCAGCAGCCTGATTCGCAGCAGCCTGCACGGCAGCGATGTTTTCAGGTCTGGGATACTTGCGGGGACGTCCTCGGCCACGCTTGACGGGTATAAGTACTCCGTCAGGACCCATCACCTGCGGTTGGGGCAGAACGGCCGCAGCCTTCTTCGCAGGGCGGGCTCTCTTGGGCTTGGGAACATAGTCACCATCGCTGTCATCAGCCGCACGTTTGCGGGATGGCTTGGTAGAGCTCTTGGTGGATGGAGCTTCGGGACTATCCATGCGCATAGCCGGAGTTCGGGCTGTGTTGGTGTTTCTCGTGGGAGGAGCGACCGCGGGTCTCGCTGGAGTAGCAGCCATAGGTCTCGCAGATTCATCAGTCAAGTCAATGACAGTGCGTGGGCGCGAGTCTCTGGCGACAACCGCAGGGGTGTTGTGGAAAGTGATTTCTTCCTGGACTGGAGGCATGGAAGCCTTCAATGCGAAGCGAGGCTCTTTCTCTGTAGATACCGCGGACACCTCAGAGCTTCCAGGGACTCTAGATACCTTCGAAGCCTCAGAGATTGTAGAGCTCTGGGGAATATTGGCGACTGCAGAAAATTCGGGGGCTTCGAAGAGCTTGGGGGCATGAGAGACCGCAGGTGCTTCAGAGACTTCAGACACTCCAGGAGCTCCAGACGTATCGGTGCTCGGCGTCGGATGCGAAGGCTCCATGTTCAAGTTGGAGTTCGGGTTGGCGCTCGGGTTGGCGTTCGCGGCGGCTTTCGAATTCGCGTTGGAGTTCGCGTTGGAGTTCGCGTTCGAGTTGGCATTCAAGTTGACGTTCGAGTCCTCCTCAGTATTGTTCTCCTGCTGGCTGGCCTCCGGAGCAACACTCTGGTGAGCGGTCGCCTGGATAGCGGGCACCTCCGGTCGAACAACTGGAAGTAACATCTCGTCGACGAACCAATCGGGGTGGTTGCTGTAGAGATGTTTCTTGTAGTCAGCTGACTGGAAATATTCGTAGGCAGGTGAGTCGGAAGGCTTCCTGTTGGGGTCCACCTCATCAATATCAGAAATGAAGGGCTGAGGCACCGCCGAGCTTGCGCTCTGTGGAGTCAACTGGTCCTCATCATGAGCCTGCAATACGGGGAGAGACGGGTTCGTAGAGATGCGAGTATGGTCCACGGGCAGCTCTGGCTCTGCGAAGAAGGGGCAGGGCATGAGATCCTCTGCCTCGGGCAGGAGTCCTTCGAAGGGGAACAAGGGGGCGGCCGGCAGATTGTTGTCTTGAGCCTCGTGGGATGCTTCGTTGAGTACTTGATCATCGGGAAACGGGTACTCCTCATATTGATCATACTCCTGCGCCTGAGTGACTTCAAGGTTGCCATCGGCAGCAGACTGAAAGCTCTCATAGGAGACAGCGGGGCGGTTGCGACACTTGTGGACTTCGGTGGGATTGTAAAGCTCGTCCATGTCCAAGTTATCAAAAACCCATGCATACTGCTGACCGTTAGCCCAGTTCTCGTCTTGACTTCAAAGGCGAGAGCCACCGAGGTTCACGTCAAGAACAACGGACGAATTGCAAAGGAAGACATAGAGATGAAAGAATAAGAAGGAGCTTACCTGGTTGTTCTCGCCAAACATTGGGTTGTTCTGAGCGTATACTTGACCGGCACTGTGAGGCTCACTCACTGACTCTGGAGTAGGAGTGCCATGCTGCTCTGTGGGATTGGTCGCAGACGATGTGCTCGCCTGGCTGCCCTTCGTCAGATCCAAAGGAGGGAGGTATGCTTGAATCTGCAATACCCTGTTCACCAACTCATGATACTTCTCGTCGTACTGATCGTGCCAAGTTTGCGATCCGTTATGACCAGGATTGTCGATGTCGTGCACATCTGGACCATTCTTGCCTTTCTCAAGGATGGCAATGCAGGAGGCCAGAATCTCCCGCTCAATTGGAATCTGGAGGAAGCCCTCTGAGATCCCGCAGCACTTCTCAAGTCCTCGAATGTGCTCGCCTAATCCTGTTTGGCACAAGTACTGGCAGGCTCTCTCGTACTCGTCGGGCTTGATGGTGTGAGTGGGAAGATCCGGCTGGTGCAGAAAATTCACGCCGTCTCTCGATGGCCCTTGGCCATGGATCAGGTCGAGGAGCTCAGAGACGCCCATCTTGTCGCAGGTCTCTGCCCAACCCTGGATCAGACGGTGGTACTGGATGTAGGCCACAACAAAGTCAATGACATCTGGAGTGGTTAAGCCCAGAGCCCGGGTTGCCGAAGCAAAGGTCTTGGAGTCACAAAGGACCTCCAGCAAGACCCATTGGGCGCCGTGGCCGAGGTGAGCCCAGGCAATGGGCTCAACCTCCCCAGGCTCTGGGCTGCCCCAGTCCATGGTTGTCGAGAGCCCCTCGCCCTCGTCCTCGCCCTTGGCCTCACGCACGCCCTCTGGCCGCTCATCCTCCTCCTCCTCCTCTGCGGCTTATTAGCGGGATATACGATGAGTAGGAGTAAGAAGTAATTACCGTTGTCACTGAAGTGCTCAGGGGAGGGGTTCTGCTCTCGCAGCCAGGCGTCCAGCTCGCCCCGGTCTCTCGCCTCCACATACTCATCCCCCGGACCGCGCTGGTCCAGGGGGATGGTTGGGAAGGACGCCCAACGAGCCGCGCCGGGGTCAAAGACCGGGTCTGGGTGAACCCAGGCCGGCCTTTGAACCCCGAGCGCATACGGCTCCTGGTACCTACCCCTCTGAACTGCCTGAGTCGAGCGCCGCAGCGCACGCTTCCGGCCGCCCGCTTCCTCCATCTTTCGATGGGTATTAGTATGCGATATTCCCATGGGGGGTGGATTGGGAGAGCAGCGGCGACTACTTACTTCAGTGGTGATGGTGAGTGTGATGAATTTGGAATGGCGGATGAGGCAAAGTGAGAGGTAAGTGGGAAAAGTGAGGTGTGGGTTGAGAGAGTGAGAGAGTAGGGCTTGTGTGAGAGTGAAAAGAAGGATTGTTGACAGCCAAGTGAGATTGTTTGGACCAGAAATCTCGCGTTCGTGAGAGAGATGTATGAAGAAGGAGCAGTGGGGCCCGGAAGAAAAATTGTCGAGGCGGCTGCTCCTTCCTCGTTGTCATGGAAGGGTTGCGTGTAGGGTGAAGTGAGATGAGATGAGTCCTGCGACCTGAGGTTCACCGGAGGTCGGTCTCTCCCCATGGGATAGCCTCAAGCAGGCTTGTTGACTGGCCCAGGGGGTCAATTTCTACCCCGGTGGCATGGTGTAGTTGCACTGAGGATGACTACAGCGAATTGGTCCTTTCTATATCATGATTCGCATCCTTTCGATGGGTGATCTATCTACCGAGGAAACACTGAGAATACGACAATAACAGCCCGTGGCCTATCCTAGAAGAAGAAAGAGTGAATAATATCTATATGAAAGTTTCATGAGACCAATTTGACCTGCATACTTGTCTATTACGTAAATAATTCAGACCATAGTCATTATATGTGTGACCTTTTGTACTGGGCGTGTCTATCTACGCAACAAATCGTCTTAGAATGGGCACAATTTGAGATAGTGTAAATGCTGGAATCTGATAGCGGTGAAAGCAGGTCTAAACTGCCCTGAGAGAAAGTCGTTGCCGACTGAAACGGGTATACTGACTGACACCTTTGACGCCTATCCATGTTCCCAAAGCAAAGTTCTAATTCCCCATAATGAGTCTGCTCCTAATGACGGCTGAAGGCGGTCTTCCTGCTGACGCCAAAATCACTGATGCAATGCCTCCGCTACAAATCTCTTCAGCTCCAGGTCTCTACGATCGACTAGAGGCGTCCCTACGCGACTGTATCCCGATCACGAAACGGGACAAATTTGCCCCTGTCCTGGTACCGCTCACGATCCGCGGCGAATGTCTCATATCCTCCGCTCTGCCTGTCCTCGTCGTCAAGAGTCGTTTCGATACCGCGCTTGCCGCCTCCACCGGTGTGTCCTTGCGACTGGCCGGCTCGAGGAACATCTCTGGTCACACTAGAGACACTTCTTTGGGCATTGAGGATGTCTTCGTATGCTTGTAGCATCCTCTTCCCATCCTCGTCGAAGTTGGCGGAGAATCGTTGCATGGAGACAAATTGCACGGATGAGATCATATCCTTTCCGTACATGGTCATGATGTAAGCTGCAGCAACGAAAGCTGACCGGTCGTTTCCTGTTTCGCAAACAAGGAGAATCTTGCCACTCCTGAAGCTTTCATCATCGACTGCCATCCGGCCTTCCTGCGCACCCACAACTTGACTGCGATACACGTCGATCAGATGCCCATTGATTTTCCTCACCACCTCTGGGAAGCCACGGATCAATTCAGAGTTGTCCAAGACGTCTAAATATTCGACTTGTATGCCGAGCTTCTGCGCTACCTTGTCGACACTCATCAGTCGAGCTTGAGCCACCCTGGCATGTCGTGTAACAATGACCATGGTGATTCCCTCCTTGGCAAGCCAAGCTTCGTCGCGAGCAACAGATAACGGACCGAGATATAGGAAGTCCAGGAGCGTCTGTGCCTTTCGTCGAGCCTCGTAGTTCCAGCCGACTGACCTGTCTGTGGCAGTCTGTGTCTTGTCCCGAGTTATGATCCTGAGATCCTCGCTCGTAAGGCGCATGGCATCGACATTGTTGAATGAGGGGGTAAAGGCGCAGGTAGCGTCGCCTTTAGCGAATGTCATGGGAATGGGTATATAGGGAGGACTGGGGGGCCTGTGGCTATACGGAGCTGTGGCGATGGCATGCTCTTTCGGCTCCTGGGGTTCCTCCATGTTTGCTGATGCTCAATGCGGGGTTTAATGAAAAGCAGTCGGCAATGAGATGTGTTTCGTTGCGGGAGTGCAAGACGCACTGACTCGAGGCAAGCAGTGCAAGGTGCCTTTGTTCGCAGTGTTCGTAGGTTGCTTATACTGTCTTGGCACACAAGCAAAGCTAGATTGCCGAAAAGTTGATCAAGCGAAGAAATGGAAATCAAAGCAACGTTCCGGGCCCTGTTATGAGTGAAATCGAAAAGGATAAGACGTTGGCTGAAGCGGTGGTGGTTTGGATGATGTTGATGTAAAGTTGAGAGGTGGAGTAGGAAAGTACAGAATCTGGGTTGCAGGCTTGCGGGAGGTGTCGAATCGGCAGACTGGGCCGGAGCGAGCTTAGACCCCCTGTGCGGCGGGCGTCTGTACATACAAACCCGCCCCACTCTGAAGCCTAGACCCATCGGAGACGTCCTGGAAGCAACCTGACCATGTGCCAATCCCAATTCCAACGTCGCTTCCCCAGAGCAGAACCTTTATGGAACGGTTACTTGCGCATGCACGTCAGTGACATCACCTCAGTATCCTCCTTACCTGCCAAGGTTCGCAAGTCTACCTTAAGGTAGGAACGAGGGCAAGACTGCAGTTGAGAGGCATCTTTGGGCGGGGCCCATGCAGCCAATTTGATTAGATAACCAGGCGGCTTATGCAGGTACCTACTTAAGTTTTCTGGAGACCTTAGTCGAGCCATCTTTCCACGGAGCCTCCAAGAGATGGCAACCTACCTCTTGGGACCGTGTCAAGTCAAGTCATTGAGAGTTTAATTCGTGCTGACTTTCTCTGTCGCCAAAGAAGACGCCAGTGGGCGACCAGGGCCACTTGCTGACCGTTCGTTGAGCCATAGCCTTCACTGGGATATCAACTGTATAACTGAATGCAAAATGTAAGCTTGCCGCACACCAAGACGCAAAGGCGATGCTGCTCTTCTTTACTAGACAATCCAGATAGCGAGTCTAATCCGATAGTAAAATGAATGAGGATTTCGGCCTGTATCAGAATTAACTTCCGTGTAGACTTATTAGTGAAAAATGATATCAATCAAATATCGATATCTCGCCATCGGCGGGCGCCTATGGGTGCCTCCTTCCAGGTTCCGGATGAACATCACTGTACTGTTAATGATGCGGCCGCCTTTTCGTAGCAAAGAATAACTACACGCGATTGCTGAACAGCTGCTCGAAAGCCCGCCATTCGGCTTTACGGAGTACCCTCTCTGCCGTAAATGGGCCGGAAAATAAGAGCGCCAAAGGGCAATTCGATCATATAAGCAACTTCCACGGGCGAGCATGGTGAGACGTAATTTTATCGCATGAAAGCATCATCTATTCAAAATAAGTAGGGCATCATAACTAATATCATGCGTATGCATCATTCATCCAGCCGTTTACAACTCCTCGGAAACCTGGCCTTGCTTCTCCAGAGCGGCGAAGTCGGTGAAGCCAAGCTCGTACACGAGGCCAAGAGTCATCTTGGCGTGCTCAAGCATGTGGTCAAACGACAAGTACTTAATGTTGTCATCGGTGCTGTGAATGTGCTTGTCAGAGTCCTCGAAGGCAGACTCGATCACGAAGGCGGAGGGGTAGCCAGCCTTGCTTGCAGAGGCATGGTCGGAGCAGGCGTATCCACACTTGGTCTCGACGTAGGGAACCTTGCAGTACTGCAGTTATGTGAGTACAAACTTGTGCCGGCAACTATGGGGTTCATTTTGACTTACCTCGACGATGACCTTCTTGATGAAGCCGGTCAAGCCGGGATCAACAAAGTCGGTAATGACACCGACGCTCTCAGGCTTTCCAGCATCGAGCGTTCCTTGAACAAATCCAGTCATATCCTGCTGGAGCATGGCCTTGATGTCGCGTCCATCCTGCTCGTAGGACGAGAAAATGGCCTGGCTACCAAGCAGACCGCCCTCCTCGGCGCTGTACCAGTGGAACTCGATGGTGTTGTCAGCCTTGCCAGAAATGACATCCTTGGACTTGAGGAGGGTGCGGAAAGCCTCGAGAATGGTCATGGAACCACTGCCATCGTCATCGGCACCGGGCGCGGCGAGAATGGAAGGCAGCCACAGGTTGATGGAATCCTGGTGCGCACCGATGACGACAGTGCTGTTAGACTTGCCCGGGATGGTGACAATGATGGAGCTCTGTTGCCAGGTGTGGGGGAAGGCCTCGGCGTAGACGTGCTTGTCGGCACCAGCGTCCTTGATGATGGTGTTCAGCTTTGCCAGAAGCCATTCGGAAGACTGGCGGCCGTAGTCGGACTTGAAGTAGCGGGTGTGGAAGCTCGTGAACTTCTCCAGGTTGGTCTGGATCTCCTTCTTGTCAAGGTCCTTGATGAGAGGCTTAACCTTGTCCTGGAGGCGACACTTCTCGGGGAAGACGCTCTTCTTCGTCTTGGTGTGGAGGCGGTTTGCACCGAACTCCTTGTGGTCGGTGATATCGAAGAAGCGGTTTCCGTTCTGCGAGGCGTCATGTCAGCACTTCTGCAAAGAAAAGGAGCGGTAATGAGGGGAATCGTACTCTGCGAAGCTCCCACTTCTCCTCCTCAGTCACCCAGCGAGTGTTGCCTGGGGCGAGTTCGATCAGGTACTTCTCGGGCTCGGAGCCGGCGGGATACAGCTGGACACGGTTGATCTCCTCCTCAGCAACAAAGCGAGCGCTGACCGAGTGGGCCAGCACTGCAAGAGGCAAAGCTTTGGCGACCTTCATCTTGAATGAAAAGTATGGGTTGGTGATGATACAATCTGAGGATGATGTGGGAGGTATGTAAGGTACTCAGGTGGATGTTGTTGAAGGGGACGGGAAGATGGCTGGCGTCATGTCGGCAGCACTGATAGGTGCTTAGATAAGATAAGGTAGCTAAGCGTCAGCAGGTCTGCGACAGCTCGGCAAGCTCCCCTGTCTCGAATCCATCCTCACACATTCCCCGCGGGTTGCCTGGGTGCCTAGCACGCCACCAATGCTT